AAACATGCAGCTGCCAGCAGGATGCTTCAGAAATGCCAACTTAATTGTAAAGAGTGGGGTAGACCATCAAAATCTCAACTGTACCTGAGCCCATCTTGTTGTACTCTAGGTTTGGTGTATAGCTGTGATGGTCCAGGGAATCTGCAAGAAGCAAGATTTGTTTAGTATTATCTTGTATTGAAGTAACTGTATAATTGGGAGAGGCACAAAAATGCCTTCCTCATATCATGTAAAAAGATACCTGAAATCTCGTCTAATATCTCCAACTACATAACTAGTCCAAATAAAAGATATTATTAGACAAATCTTGTTTCTGGACTGACTTTGCACACATGCAAGACCCAACTTGCTTGCATATAAAAGTTGACTTCTGATAAATCTTGTCCTTTTATTTTCAAATGCAGTTCTTCAGGGGGCAAACAACTAGGGCTGTGTGAAATTTCGTCACCAGTTTTGTTTCAACGCTGTTTCAACCCGTTTCGAGGTTGAAACAGCAAAATTGAAACGGAACAGATAGAGTCGAAACAGCCTTGAAACAAAACGAGGCAGGTCAAAATGTTTCACCATTTCAGCGCTGTTTCGACATTTCACCCATAGGCTATAATGGGGAAGGACAAAACAGCCTATAACTTTGTCATTTCTGGCTTGATTGGATGAAATTTGCGGGAATGGTAGCCCCTTCTGAGGGCGTGAAGCCTGCCGAGTTTCAAGGAGATAGGTGCAGGAAGTTCAGGGAAACTGCACCCCAAAATCTTGAAAGCAAAACTCATGTCACGTGTATGTTAAGCCACAGCAGGGTCAAAACTGCAGGCATGCTAGCCCCTGCAGAGGCCACAAAGCCTGCTAAGTTTCAAGAAGATAAGTGCAGGGGTTTGGGGGAAACTGTAGCTCAAGCTGTGGACAAACAAAACTTGTAACATGGGTGACAGTGTGTGTGTTAAGGCACAGCAGGGTGAAAGCTGCAGGCGTGCTAGCCCCTGCTGCAGCTGTGAAGCCTGCCAGCTATCAAGGAGAGAGGTTCAGGGCTTCTGGGTTCTGGGGCTTTGCAACTCTAGCTGCTGACAGGCAAAACTTGTGTCATGGGTGCTTGTGCAACTGTGTCTGTCTTGGGGCATGTGGGGGAAACTACTGCAGACCTAGCTGCTAGGCCCTGCTGTGACCACAAAGCCTGCCAGCTGTTAAGGAGATAGGTGCAGGGGGGTTCTGAGGCCCTGCACCCCTAGCTGCTGACAGGCAAAACTCCTGACATGCCCTCAGAAGGGACTACCATTCCTGCAAGTTTCATCCAAATCAAGCCAGAAATGACAAAGTTATAGGCTATTTTGTCCTTCCCCATTATATCCTATGGGAGAAACATCGAAACAGTTTCGCTGTTTTGGCAGAACAAAACGGAACAGCTGTTTTGAATTGAAACAGAATTTGAAACGAAATGCTGTTCCATTGAAACACTGGTCAAAAGAGAACACTGCCATTTCACACAGCCCTACAAACAACCCTCAATATACATATAGGCTCAGTGGCAACAGCTTGACTTGCACCACAGCTGAAAAGGGACCTAGGGGTAATGATCGACCATCGTATGGATATGAGCAGTCAGTGTGAAGGGGTGGTCAGCAGGACAAACAACACGCTGGTGTGCATCAACTGATGCATCTCATGTAAAACTAAGGAAGTAATATTCCCGCTGTACTCAGCACTGGTGAAGCCGCAGTTGGAGTACTGCATCCAGTTCTGGCGCCATACTTCAATAAGGATGTGGAAAAACTTGCGAGGGTCCAGAAAAGAGCCACCCGTATGATCAGGGACTTGCAAGGCAAGCCATATGAGGATAGGCTGAGGGACCTGGGCCTCTTTAGCCTAAAGAAGAAAAGGTTGAGAGGGTACTTGATAGCGGCTTACCGCTATATCAGGAGTGCATCAGGAGCTCGGTGAACAGCTGTTCACTAGGGCACCCCCGGGAAAGACCAGGACCAATGGATACAAACTCCTGGAAGGCTACTTCAGGCTTAATACTAGGAAAAACTCCTTCACAGTCAGGGTGTCCAGACTGGAATAAACTCCCTCCAAAGGTGGTGCAGTCACCTCGCTCGGGTTACCTAACCCCACTTGTCTTCCTGCCTAGAGCAGGGAGGCTGGACCCAAAGATCTTCAAGGTCCCTTCCAGCCCCTAACAATTATGAATAACAATCTATGTCATTAACACTTTCTTGCTAAGTGAAACTACAGAATATGTTCTGAGCATAATTGGTCTAAACTTCTTTAAGTGTGTACTCAGTAAACAGCCAGCTAACTATATAGTAGCTTTATAACACAAGCTGCTCTAGAAGAGTGTGTTATGCTTGGTGGTATATATGACAGTAGTTGTTTAAAGGAATTAATCTTCATGATCATGTTCTTCAGTCTAAGGAAGTAACAAGTGATCAGTTTTAGAAAAGACTGGTGAGAGTCGAATCTAAACGGCTTCTGTTTCTACCTCTGCTGCCTTGTTGTATGACCCTCAGCAAATCATTTAATTATTCTGTAGCCTAGTTTACCAGTTAAATAATGTGTGTGGGGATGCCTGTGTTGTGAGCACTATGAAATCTAATTTGTTTGCTGAGTGCTGTGAAATGTTTGGTTAAAAAATTACTGTTTCAGTAAGGGGAGGTTCCAATTTTTAAGTTCACTGAATGAAGTTACATCAACACTGAAGAAAACTTAGTAACTCATACTCAGTGTATTGGTTTAATTTGAAATGGATAAAACAATCAAGGGAAAGACTAATTCTTTTGGACATTTATGGTTGGTTATTTTATACAGGTGGGTCTGTATATATGTGTGTAAACTAATATCCTTGAATGTATTCCTTTTTTATAGTGGAGCTGTTAACAAAAAAAGCAAATTATATTAAAGAGCTAATGTAAATATCAACTTAATGACAGCAGTTTTCTGCACAAATGTTTTTTACAGCAACTTGTCAAAGATCAAGAGACAGTGATGCAAGAGGTAAAAGGAGAGCTAGACACCAATCGGAGAAAAGCTGATCTTGAAGATCACCTAGTCCAGAGATTGATAGAAATTGATCGGGAAGAAAAGCAAAAAGCACAGATGGTAAGATAGATTTACTTGGAAGTTTTGGAAGGAATATCTCATCCGACCAGCTAGCATGAAAATCTTTAAAAGAAAAAATTCTAGTTCTCCAGGTACCCTAATGTCTAGATTTTGACTCTGAGTATGAATTTGCTTTGGCTACAATCTTTGCAAGAGTCCAGAGAGTTAGAGAATATTGAAATCATGCCAGTCATGGCTTTTTAAACTTTGGACATCCTCCTCCGGGACTGGAGCGTACTTCACAACCACTTTAAATGGAAAAGGAAGAAGATTCCTTTTTCCCTACCACAAATTTGGAAGTCATGTGAGAATTAGCATGTTCCTTCTTGTAGATAACCTTCCTAGTAAGAGTGTTTAGTGTAATGACCAGAAGTATCCACTTTGGTGGACATCCTAACTATAGGCATTGACTTTCAGATGTGGGTAATGAAGTACCCAGCTTTTTTAGATTTCCAGTCACAAACTAGCTGCCCAGTTAGAAAACAGTGTAAGCCAATTCGTTGCCCAAATGATTGGCATGTGCATCCAGAATGTGACCAAAAATGACCATAGAGGCCCATGATTGTTTTTAAATTCCCTCTAGTTTGGTTGGACATAATTGACTGTGGGTAGGAGTGATAAAATTGTGGTGTTGCCCTGATGTAGTTGTACCTAAAATGAGGTGCATGCCTAAATGCTAACAGAGGGGTAGCTATAACATTAGAGATTAGGTTTATGCCCCGCTTCAAAAATACATACAGTGTATAAAATTAGATGATAGCAGAGGTGAGAGAGAAACGATTGCTGTGGGGCATTGAGCAGGATGTCTTGCAAAGGGAGTTCTCTGAACTGACAGAGATATTTAACAGTGGTAAGGGAATACATTTAAGATTGGACAGAGAAAAGTTAGCCTTTCTCTGTAACAGGGCAACAAATTAAAATTAAAGTAAATACAGTGCTGATAAGAATCGCATCTTCCTAGCTGGCTGAAGAAAGCTTAGCAAAGGCAGATCAGAAGTGCATTGACACAGACTGGAGAATCCAATTGTCGCAGAAACAAAGATGTGACGACCTACACCGTGAGGACCATTATAAAGAGATTGCTAAACTCCTTCATGATAACAGAGTAAAGGAAACAGAGCTGTTGAATGTCATGAAGGAGGCAGAAGATAAAAAGGTAAGTGCTCTGTTTTATTTTCTTACATGCAACCTATAAAAGAGTGAAACCACTGTTTGTCTCCTTGACTCCTGTGTGCTGTAGAATGAAGAGCTGAGAGATTACCAAAAAGAAAAAAAAAATTTCCCAAATGCCTTCTCTTTCCTGTTTTGCTAGAGGTGTCCCAGGAGCACCAGCAAAATACAGTGGGACCTCTTTCTTCTTCTTTGGATGTATAAGGACAAGGGAAAGTCTTTATAACTGTGTAGTTAGTTGTAATTCTGCAACTATTTACCTCTTTATTTGCTTGCGGGAGAGGGGAGGGAAGCTGTACCCCTGAATATAAAACAGTGACTCACTCTTTGCATTAAATTATTGATGAACTGTAATTTTCAAGAATCAAATGGCTTCATCTTTTGCTTTCACTTTTATTGGAAACTCATTAAAGAAATGTCTGTTGCACAGTGGGAAGAAAATCTAAAGAGAGCGAGTCAGCTGGAGGCAGAGCAGGAAGCCACAGCCATTACTGATGCACGCAGGAAGCAGCTTTTAGAAGATGAAATGAATGATGCGTTAGACCTGGCTGAAAAGTTACAAAGTGAAGATGGCTATTTTGGTGAGCATAAAACCAATATGGTCCTCCTCATACAGCACACAGCATGGATGCCAGTTCCACAGCGATGTACAGTAACTACTTGTCACCAGTTTGTGACGATTATTTGTTAGTCTTCTGTATATATAAGGCCAAAGGTTTGAAGGAGTCTATTTGGCCTCTAGTTTTGCTGTTCATCAGTTACAACTATAAATGATAGTATTTAACTCTTGCACATAAGAATCTTGATATTATGCCTGGCCACACACCAGCAAAACTGAAGATACCTTTAAAAATTTGGCCACAATGTATTGTTTCAGAATGGTGATTGGGTGGATGAATGGACTGCAGGAGAATGGTTAGCATGCTTAACATTTGAAAATTTGTATTCAGTTGGAAACTTTAATTTCCAGTCATCTGGGAATTGACTGCAACTTTGTTTTGCGTGAATGAGATAACATTTTACATATAACCGCAGGAAGTGTCTTAGGTTACACAAAAATTCCCACCCTGCATTATTTTGTTTACAGACAGAAGTACCGTCCTCTGTCAGACACACAGCACTGTCCTCATACCTGTAATATGGATTTCAATCTAACTCTTGGTTTTTCTACTTCATCTTACTGCTTAGTAGATAGCAACAGAAAAAACTGCATAGTGTAGACTCCATTGGGCGTACTAAGTACAGGTAGAAAGCACAAACACAAAGCAATGCAAAATTGCTCATTTTACCACCACTCCCTGATCTCGACTGAGGCACATGTGTGCCATCTCTCTCCCTGTGACAGGGATTTCATTCAGTCCAAAACACTGGGGAAAGTCTGGCAATGTGTCTGATCCTAAATTGGACAAAATTGTTTCCTTCCATATATTTACAAGCCCAGTTCCTTGCTCAGCAGGCTGAAAATCTCCTCCCAGTACTATATAGCCTCTTACTTTCAGTCACAAACGGCTCACGGCAGTCCAGAAAGTTTAACTGCTGCACCTTGGAGGCTCTCTGAACTTAAGTCTCTTGATAAAGCACTATTACGTTGTATCTCCTGCTATCCAGTAAAATGTTTTTGTTCCTCTGCTCCTCTTTAGAAGACTCTTAAGTGTGAAATGTTGCCAAAAAGGTTTGGGTATCTTCACCTGTCCCCTTTCATTCATTCTGTGTAGTCACTTGTTTGTGGCCTCTTCATTTTCAGGTTTGCTGTTACTGCAACTTGTATTGTGGTATCACCTAGATCAGGGTTCTGCAGTATGTAGATGTATATGCCACTGATTCTCAATCAGAGTGCCTTGAGTTCCTATAAAGGGTGCCACAGAGGGCTGTACAATATTAGTACAATTAGGTGTGCAAGCACCAACATGTGATTCACAAGATAAACCCAGAGATTTCAAATAGGAGTCCATAGTGTCAAAAACATTCTGTCTGACTATGGTTTTCCTGAGTTTGTTTCAACAGAAGAATTCCTCTATTATTTTTCCATGGTCAGAAATGGGTGAAAGCTCAGAGCTGGCATTTTCTGAGGGGTGCTTGGAGTCTAAAAAATCAAAAACCCCTAGCATATGCTATGTGGTCTTGCCTGAACAATGTTGCTTTGAGGGCAACTTGCAGTTGAGCTCCCATTCATACGTGTGGGGTAACCAACAGGGTACTATCAGAAAATATCTGTCTAGTGGTGAGGCTACAACAGGAACCTGCTTGATCTCTAAAGTGGAGTGAACTGTAGACGGCTTATTTAAATAGATTCACCTGCTGAAACTACAAATCGGAGTATGCAACAATTTACCCTGCTCTTCAGTCATTTTGTCAGCAGCTCACTCACTCTTATTATTTGTTTGGGGTTTTTGGGGGGGAGTGGGTATTGCATTGTGGCAGCTGTAGTTTCTGAAAATTGCGATTTTTTTTTTTTGTGCAAACACAAAGCATTGGATGCCCAGGCTGTTGATTTATTTATTTTTTTTTTTTCCCCCCGTGTTAGCAATTGCTATACATCTTTGGGTTCTTGACATGCAGGCAGTTCCGTTTAACTAACTCCGGGTATATGTGACTCTTAACAGATAATGTTTTGCCTCGCATAATAAAAAGTGATTTCAGTAAAGACTAGTTAAAATCTCACAGCTTCCCTCCATTTCCCACAGAGAGACTGCGTGATTTAAGGACTGGGTCTGCACAGCAAGATTTAGAAATCCAACTGGTACCAGAGGCCCAGTCCAAGTCTGGATACGTCTGTCTAAATGACTTATCTTCAGCAGAGTCCTCAACACACTGTAAGTTGCTTAGCTAGAAATATTCTGCCTCTTAATTTGAATTTTGGAAGCATTCCCTGAGCACCACAGTCGATTAATCATCCCAGTGTTTCAAAATCCACAGATTAGGTTTTATTTTTGTTTGATTTCTGTCCTGAAGAGAGCTCCCTTTAAAAAACAGGAATTGCAAAAGCAAAGATGTTTCAATTGAACTTAAATGTGAGAGATGTTGTGTTAACTCTGTCTATACCCCGGTTGAGATATATATACTTACTTTTTGGAATTGGCAATAACGTATGCATGACTGTCAGTTTTGAGAGTGTATTCATTATAGCCAGAAACTAATATCCGTTAATCAGTTTTATACTGCCTGTGTTTCTACAACCAGTGAAAATGCTTGTTGAAAATTTGTTTACTTGTAGAAATATTGGTGAGATTTTCCCAAAATGACAGGGAACCTTATTTCTTTGATACTTTGAAAGGACCGTAGAAATCTTGAGCCTCTTCTCTTTATATATGGCAAAGTACAATACAGAAGTGATCCAGTTTACAAAGAATATAAACAGTCCCTAGATATCAGTTGTTCCCCATTGTAGTACTTAGAGCTGTCTCCTAAGTGACTGCAAAATAAGGAATAACTATGCATCAGCCACAAGGAACTGAATTCCTTGTTATTGTCTATAACAGTTAGTTGAAATATTAATTCTGAGCCTTTTTCATCACAAGTTTCTTTAGACAGAAGACGAGAAGACTTGGAATGCAGAGAGCGGGAACTGATGGCAGAAGTCAGACAGCTCAGGGAAAAGCTCGCCTCGCAAGCTCGGGCTAAATATCCTCTCCCTCATTTCCCTGACACAAAATGGACCGCCTGAGAAGGCAGGCGTTATGGTTACAGCTCACCTGATCAATCACCGAGGTTCCAAATACTTAGGTTGTGATCAAAGACTCATTTTGTATAATTTATTATGAATGCCTTGGCACTTATTTTTGTACATAATAAAACACTAACTAGAGATGTTTTATATTTGCATACTCCTATCCTTGCAGTTCATTCTGGGCTCTTTTTTTTAAATAAACTCATTTTTGTTGCAAAGCTACTACCTGGTCAGTATTTGAATACACTATATCCTGGGCAAAAAACTGAAACAGTTACAATGCTGCATTGTCAGGAGTGTTTAATAGATTTTCTTTTTCCATTGGGGTGTTTTCCTTGTTTAATATCTGATACATTCCCAAGGGAGCAAGAGGATCCTACTTTCAGTGGCCAGATCTGCTTCTGCTCTGTTGCTATGGATGATTCTATGAAGATTGTGCCTCATCTAGGTCACAGAACATCATGTAAAAGTTGCTGGTTCGTGCTTCATACTATAGTAAAATCATTTGAGTCAAGTTCCTTTTTAACTTTAAGGCTGGAATCCATTGTGTGTAGAGTTTTAGAATGAACTTTTTACATAAAATGAATATGAATAACTAAGCCAAGAAAAATAAATGTGTGATTCTGGAGATCGAGCTGATCGTTCATGGTACTATGTACTGAAATGCCTTGTGCTCCTACTTTCTCAGCTATGTGCTTCTCATCGATATGTTTTTCTTTGTTTTGAGGAGAAAAGAATAGACACAGCTGCTTTTGTGGACTTCTTAAAATGAGCAGCAAGCTACAATTTAAACTGAATAATGGAGCTAACTCTCATTGTTCAAGTATTTGTCTATATATATGCTGCTCTTGCTATTTGCACACTCAAGACTGGAATCTTTGACCCACCAATGTCAATCTGGAGCCTGCCTGTTCCTGTTGGACTAAACTCTCTCTTTCTATGTGCCTGTATGAAGCATATGCTGCCACATATCTGCAGCTTTTGGTATTTATACATCTTACAATTCAAATCTGAATGAAAGCCCACTCACACACACAGAACATGCTCAGTAGGGATGTGCTTCAGCCAGACAGTTGCACACCATGTGCAAGGCTGGGTAAGTCCTGGAAAAAATGCAGCCAGTGGGTGTTACATGCTGGATGAGGAGGGGGGACCCTTACCTTTTAGCCCAATACCTTAGTGGTTAGGGTGCTTGCCTAAGGAGTAGGATGCTAGAGTCCTGGGAGCAGGATATCAGAGGAGATTGAACCTACATATCTACCTTCCCAGCAAAATGTCTTAACAACCATGTTTTACCCAGATGGAGGTGGTCCACAGGGCAGGCAAGAAAAGGAGATATGTGAAAGCAGGAGGAAGAGAACATGCCAGTGGGTATGTGGCTCAATGAAATGGCTGCTACCTTGGAAGGCTCGGAGCCCCGGGTTCTAGCCAACAGGGCAGAAACTTTCCCACTAGTGTTTCTCCATTTTATGTGCGGGCCACATTCAAGAGGGCATGTAGCACTCATTTCTTGAGTGCCATTGTGATCAGTGATAAATAGCCTGCTGGTTGAACCTACCACACACACTTTTTCAGTACCAAGAACATTTGTAACACCAGTAAAAGATTTTCCCAGATCCTACTCAAGTAGTATGAGAGAGAGTTTATTGGAGGCTTTCTCTGTGGAAGGGTTACTTTAAAAGGAAAATTGCAAGACAGCAGGTCCTGTTTTTCGAGTAGAGGCCATAGGAAGAAATCTTGTGATGGTTTGCACACGGTAGAATTTCTCACAATAGCTTCTACAGCTTGAACGTAAACTGGTTCAGATTTGGCATGGTTAATCGTGGAAAGTGGTTGTTTGGGGATTGTTTTCATTTTTTTGCTTCATGGGTACGATGTATTGCAACCTGCTCTGTGGAATTACTACGTGACTCAAGCACACGTGGACATCATTTGTTTAATTAAGTGTATTGCTAGCCCCAAGAATCTGCTAGCCCCAAGGTGTAATCTGACACTGGAAAACTAAGGAACTTTTTTTTGGAAGGAAGGAAAACACCACAAAGGGTATATAAACAAACGTCAGCAACGTTACTTAATGTGAAATACAGAGAGCATATGCAAAAGATTGCCCTTCCCGTGGTGTATGCAAAAACTCTCATTGGCATGGACTTTACCTCTATGTTAAGAAACTGATATCTAAATTATTAGTCTATATAGTTAGGAAGGTGTTTCTTCATATGCAAATAACCTATATGCAGTGCAAGAATGATGCTATGGCTAGGAATAAATGAGGACATTCCCATGGACTGCACAGTTCCTATTCTATTTGTGTGCCTGATGCTTTGTACTATGGTGCATAAGACTGACTCATCGTGGTTGCACATGTGGAGGACATGAAGATGAAGAAATTATGCCTTTCAATTTGTTTTGCGTTCCCTTTCTCTTTTCTTAAAACACTCTTTACTCAAAGCCTTGAGCAAAAACCAACTGTAAAACTAATTTCTACAGATAAGCCTACTGAGCCCCTCCTCAGAAATAAAACAATAAAAATACACTTTTTAAAAACTCTGTGGTTTTTTCAGTATTTTGTGGCCAGAAAATATTCTCTGACTAACAGATTCATGGATGGCTGGATCCTGTTTCCGTCTAAATGGGAAGAGGGTTATGCCTTGGAGCATAAAGACATCTGGTCGGGACCCTCTGGTTATTGAACAAAACTGAACAGAACGATTGCGCAGTAGACAAAAGTTGCCAAAATTCTCATCCATAAAGTTGCTTTTTGAATTGCGTTCATTTTGTTATTTCTGCTTATTTCAGTGTACACTCATTATTTTTTCTGCACTGAAGTGCAAGACCTCTTTTGTGTGTGTCTGCCCACGGACACAGATGCAGAAAATAAAGACAGGCCCTGGAGCAGTTTTCTTAACAGTATTAGCTTACATGATCTGCACATCTGCAAATGCTTATTTTGGCATTGTTGGGAGGATCTCTAACAGTAAAATAGTCACACTTCTGTAGTATGCAGCTGGTTTTTCCACCAATATGCACAAGTAATTATATTGTAATTTAGTGTGTGCAGTACCTAAATCAGTAAAAACCAGAGCTCAAAAGGCCACAGCATACTGCCTGTGTTACCCTTTATTCATTCTTTCCCAACTTCTTTTCAGTTGTGAGTAGATGAGCAGATCTTACTCAAATCTATGCATGCCCAATCTGATTTTTAAAAATGTTCCTGTGAAAAAATTTTAAAAAATCACTTTCTTCAAGCATGAACGGTGGAGTTTTCTTCTTATCCACGGGAGCAGAGCTGGCCAGACAGAGTTTACTGAAGAAGATGGGAGTCACCAAGAACGGAAGTGCTTCTGAATCCATAACTATGCACCGCGCCAGTGCTGTGCTGAAATAATACGTACCGCAGTCACGTAGCAAAGCAAATGAACGCAGGGGCCCTGTTACAGAATAAAGGAGACTGTTGATGGGCCTGGTATGTATTATTTCGTTTCACTCAAATTACCATCTTCTCGCTCCCAGGCTTTCCTTTCCTTGCCTTGCCTTTTTTATATTAATTTATTTTGACTTGATTATTGCGCTTCACCATCATGCTTATATCTTCCATTTCACCTTGTGCCCAGGAAAACGACCTCTACCTCCCAACAGAGCTAAGGGCAGAGTGCAGCCACTCTTCTTCCCCTGCGAGCGCCCGAGGCAGAGCTACAACCCTGCAAACCAAAGGGATGAAATTAAAACCAAATAAAAATATTCAGCTGCCCCGTGTGAGGCTCGAACTCACGACCTTCAGATTATGAGACTGACGCGCTACCTACTGCGCTAACGAGGCGGCTGGCAGCATTTCCCGCGCTCCGCCTCTCCAGCCCACCCCAGCCAGCCCGGCCGGGCGCGGCGGCGCCTCCGCTTGTCCCCGGCCGGAGGAGGAATGGGGCTCTGGAGACAAGCTCCCGGCAGAGCCCGCAGCCTCCGGCGGGGGAGCAGCCTGCAGGGCTGTAGCAAGCAGCAGCTCCTCCCCCACGTCTTTGCAGCGAGCCGGCTTCCTAGCACCCGGGCTTGCACAGGCTGCGCTTCCACCCTCAGGATGCCCAAAGCGCAGCATCCCAAACTGCAGCACTGAGATAGAGTCTGTTAGGAATCCAGGGGTTGGTCTGAGGGTCTTTTCCTGACTTTTAAACCTTTATTAAACCTCTGAGAGTAGCAATGCTCCAGGGCTTGGTCCTGGGGGGGGGGCAGAGGAGTGGTACGGGGCCAGGTTAGGCAGGCCAGGATCAGGTACCTGGGTCCTGCATGCCAGGATGGGGCGCAGTGCCACCCTCAGCCAGCCGCTCGTGCCAGGATCAGGTACCCAATGTGGCAGCCAAATTTCCAGCTAAGTGGGGAGACCCACGAGCCAGATGACACAGCGCCAGGGGTCAGATGTAGCTTGCAAGCCAGAGGTAGAGTAGTGTCTATAAGCACCTGGCTGCGTCGGCACGAGTCGCCAACTGCGCAGCAGCAGTCAGCCAGTGCTTGTGCAGTTTCTGTCACCGCACGGTTATTTTTAGCTGCTACTGCGCAGCAGCGTAGCTGTCGCGGTTCGTGCCCGGTGACGCTACATTGCTGTAGCAAGGAGCTCCGGCGCAGCAGCTCGCTGCTACAGCGGCATAGCATCTCGTGGAGATGTGCCTGCTGAAAATCTGGGCCCTGTTTCGTAAATGAGACGTTTCTCTTGTGATCGTATGAATCCTGGAGCTGGGCCTTTGAGACAGACACTACATATTACAAGAGGGCGACTCCAGTGGTCAGAGTTGACAGCTCTGTGATGCTTCCACCCCTGTGAGCGGCCTGTCAGTACTCCCACCGTGCACCAAACTAGAGGCTTGTTTGATTCGTGTTTCTTTTCACACTAATGTGAACAGGCTTGAAGAAATACATTGGTACAGTCCCTAAAATACTGGTTATGCAGCGTTGTCAAGCTCAGTCATGTTTTTAAGCTTTTCTTTTCTCCTTTATTTTTTTTAACCACCTATCATGATAGCATCTGATAGGTGGTTAAAAAAAATAGGGGCAGTCACCGGTCAGTGTTGTTTTGAAGTTATGGGCAAATTGATGTCTGTCTTCACGTTAAGCACATGTGGTGTTTTGCTCCGTGCCACCTGCTCTGGGAAGTTAGGAGCCTCCAGCTATTTTAAAAGTTGTGCAACAGCTTTTGCAAACAGACTTGCTTTTTTTTTGCCTGAGTGCATC